GGTTTAAAAGAAATGGGTAATCACATTAAAAGAATTAGAGATAGTCTTGCATGGATTCAAGGTAGTAACCAAAGACAAGAAGATTGGTTTAGGTTCTTACAAGCATTAAATATACCTCCTAGAGCATTAGCGTTAGATATGCCTATAAGATGGAACTCAACTTATATTATGCTTCAACAATGCATCCCTTATAAGAATGCTATAACAAACTATATGTGTGCAAAATTAGGAGTAGGACATATAGATGAATTTGATTGGCAAATTGCCGAAGTTTTGTATCAATTTTTAGGTAGGTTTCATGAAGTGACTCTAAAACTTAGTGGAACATATTACTCAACATCACCTTTAGCTTTAGGAGAACTTTTACGAATTAGTATTTTATTTAGCGAATATAGGGATGACCTAATCTTAGCAATTCCTATCCATTCTATGGAAAGGAAATTTATAAAATATTGGTCTAAGTTGCCTTTGTTGTATGGTTTAGGTACTATTTTTGATCCTAGATTAAAATTAGAAGGTTTAGAAAGTAGCTTAGAAAACTTTGGTGAATTTTTAGGCATCAATTGTTCAGACCAATATCCAATAATAAAGATAGTAAATATGAGATTAGGTTTAGAGTATCTCATAGAGTACAGGAACTGCAACAACAAGACGAAAACCCGCATTCATTCTTAAATGTTTTCGGGTTGAAGAAGAAGAAGAAGACAACTCAAACAGAAGCTGTTAGTGAATCTTCATCAACAAGTGGCAGTGGCAGCGGCGGCGGCAGCTTCAACAAGCTTATGGCGTACCTCAGTGAAGGCTTAGTAGTCGGCGGTATGGCAGAATCGTTTGACTTAGTTCAATGGTGGAGGGCACGGGCATTAACTTGGCCAATCCTAACTCTTGGCAATGGATATATTTTCGATCCCTGTATCCACTGTTTCATCCGAACAAGCCTTCAGTACGACAGGAAGAATACTTGAGGAACGTCGGAATGCATTGCAAAGGGATATTGTTGAAGCCTTGGTTTGCATTAAGGATTAGGATCGGGCCGATCAACGTCTACATGATACAATTTCGCCAGCAAGCCAAGAATGGATCAATGAATTTAATCGATTAACATTTAATTTTGAAGACGATTCTTCAGCTTCAAATTAAATTGTAAATATGTATTTACTTTTGATATTGTATTTGTAATTGTATAACTTTGTAAGTTTGTAAAATTTGTAATTCGTCATAAAATGATTGCACTCTTTTTTCCTTGCCAAGTTTTTATCCCAATTGGGTTTTTCTTGGTAAGGTTTTTAACAAGGCAATCATGAATTTCAAATTTAAAAATTAATAAAGAAATAATTTTTTTATATAGTTTGTGTGTTCATTTCAAATTTCAAATTGTAATATATATATAAATTTTAACACAAAATAACTTAATATTAAAAAAAAATTTAAAAAAAAATCAAGCTTTTTCGGGCGGGCTTGGGCCGCCTAATACAAGCCCGCGGCCCGTTCAAGGTGACATTCGGGCTCGGGCGGGTCGGGTTTGGGCTCGGGCAAAAATCCGGGCTTTTCGGGCGGTCGCGGGCGGCCCGTCCAAAGTTCCAGCACTAATTCATGTAATGGGATTATTGATGTATATTCTAGCTAAACTCTTTAGGGCTAGGGATTTGATGTAGTTTTACTATTGCTATGTTATGAAGATTCTATAGCTTGTTAATATATTTTCACTTCAACCCATTTGTGTTTCTCTATAGTTATTGTATAATTTGATTATCTATTGAATTAGAGATATAGATGTGTGGATTTAGGTTCGGGAGAGTCACTTTCACATGTTGGATTTGGAAAAACACAACCTAAAGTTAGTGAGTTTGGAAGGCCAATTAATTCAGGTAATCAATATTATGTTGCTTAATGGATGCTTGATTTGGTTAGGCTAATAGGAATATTATTTAACTGTCTTGCACACTATTTTACTCAGCACTCGGGAGAGGGAATGAAATTACTTTTGAAAATTTAAGATTAATGAATTGAGTGAAATTAGTTAACAAGCTTAAAAATCCGATGAGCATAGCTCGGTAGGATGAAATCGGACCCCTAACCGCTTTAATACCATCAGAGTTCCTTTCGATCCCTTCTTGTTTCCAAATTTCTTCTTTACTTGCTTTGTTAGTTTAATTCTATTGTTTTAATTGCTACAGTCACTCAATTTTGATGGTGTGGATAAAATTATAGTTATTGTAATTGCAGTACTTAGTTTAACTTATAAAAACTGATATCTATACTTAGGTACACTTTATTACTTTTACAATTCGTTCACTTGCGAGCACACACATACTTCAATTGAATCAAAAGCAATTTCACAACACATATAATAAAATACAAACATCGTACATAAGATCCCTCATCATTTACATCAAGAAACCCCATGAAACTCATGTATTATGACCCTTTTATATGGAAGGAGTCACACAACAAGCAAAAGTGAAGCAAATGGTTGAATCATTTGTTGTATTCTCTAGGTAAGCAAATGGGAGGAGTCCCATGAATTGGTGTACTCTTGAGATAAATTTGTTTTCTGTTTTTCCTTCAAGTCAAAGTTTTACTAATACTGATCGATGAAGGATGTTGATAGTTGGTTGTTTAATCATTCTTCCACTATAGTAATTCTTCGATCTTAAAAACATTAATAACAAAAAAGAAAAAGTGAGGAGAGAGAGAGAGACATGGCAGCATTATCTTAAAGACCAAAAAAAAATATTTATATACAACTAAATACATTTTAGATCCTAAAAGTTTCATGGATTTGACCAAGTCCTCTACAATCTGTTTCTGTCATGCATATCATTTCTCGAAGTTTTCAAGAGACCCTTCATTGGTTCATATCTAGCATTTTGGTGAGTTTTGGCCATGTCAGGGTTTCACCCAATCAATTGGCTCACTTGTGCTTGGTAACCATTGCTTATTTGCTTTTACATGTCACTGCGATTTAGAACATCATGTCTTTGCAATGTGGTCAAGACACGGTTAAGATTTAAGAAAATGTACTTTGTTTGTTTCTTATGCATTATATAATTAGATTTTTTTGTTGGTCGGGTTGAAATCAAAAGAGATGGCCAGCACAGGCAGAATATTTACGTGCTTAATGCACAAGTACAAGCACAAAGAAACACAAACTGTTCTTTCTATTTGTCACTGTTTTTTTCTTTCATTTGTTTCCTATTATTTTTATTTGTGTTAACGGGAGAGCAGGAAAATAACACAAACACACACGCTCGCACACTTAGTAACCCTGCTTTGTTTTCTGTTGGTGCTGAGTGTGTTTCCTCCATTAGCACACATAATGGTACAAACAATTCACACCCTAAATTTACTTTCTTCCTCTTTGTTCAGAGTCACTAAATTATATTACTTATCTAAAACTATGGTTTCCTTGTTGAGTTTTGTAATAGTTCATTGTTAGTTTTTCTGAAACTATGGTTCTGTTTGTTCAAGGTATGTTAGTTTTCAAAAATATATCGTTCTCCTTTTAACATTATGGGTTGTATATTTCCAAGTAGATGTCAAAATTTTTGTAAAAGGAACTCTATCCGTTGCATTTTCTCCAAATTGAAAAAGAAAAAAAAAAAGAAAAAAAAAAAAGAAACTTGGTTATGTTTCAGAATTTTGGTGGGTAGCTAAGCTTTCTTGAAATCTTCGGTTCAGGAAATACAACTAAGCCAAACTAAGGCTTCGTTCACTTCGCGAATATGTGACATTTTATGAGAATTTTCACTGTAGTAAAAAAAATTAGATGTGACATTTTTTGAGAATTTTTTACTGTAAAAACTTAGAACTGAAAACTCAAATAGGTGAAATAAACGAAGCCTAAGTATGCATGTATTTCTGAAACATTAAAAAAAAAAAAAAAAAAGTTTCTCTAGGAACTAGACACTCGCAAATTTTGACTGCCGATAGACCCTTGACGAACATTTTTGTTAGCGTACCCCTTTATTAAGGCCTATAGAAGTATGCTAACGTCGATCGATCACCTCTTTCTGAACTTTTATTAAAAAAAAATACCCTCCTAACACCGAAAATAACATAATAGGTGGGTGCAATACAATCCCTAAAATACAACAATACTAAATTATACCAATAGAGCCTACATATATTATGCATTCAGCAATACTAAATATACCAATATAGTTTATATAATATATTATGTATTCAGCCATTCCAACTCTTAACAAGTATGAAATCATTACACACTTCTGTATATAGTAGTTATACATGTCATATTATTCTAGCAAATTACATGTATAAAATCTCACACCTTGAAGAACATCAGCCATGGTGGTTTCTGTCCCTTGAACCCGCCGGTGCACGATTCATTTGGCCGCCACTGCCACTGCCACCGCCTCCGCCTCCGCCCGAATTCCCTGAACCAGCTCCATAGCCGTTCCCGCCCCCGCGAGCCCCATCGCCTCCGGAACCATATCCAAACCCAGACCCCGAACCAGACCCCGAACCGGAACCTGAACCAAAACCAAAGCCAAAACCTCTTCCGAACCCGGTCGGTGACCTACCCGACCCCGAACCGTAACCCCAGCCGGCTCCCGGGCTCGAACCCCAGCCCCAACTGTAGTCCCAGTTGGGACCGTGGGCTGACCCGCTGGCCCCCCTCGGAGCCCCGGTTCCGCCTTCCTGTTCTGTAGACATTCTCTGGCCGCTACCACCGCCGCCGCCGCCGCCTGTGTAAAAGGCAAAACAAGTTCCTGTCAGCAACAGGAGAATGAAGTTGAAGAGTGTGAAATATTGGGGTGTGTTGGGATGCATATTTTATTTTTTATTTTTTATTTTTTGGTAAGAAGTGAAGACACTGTGAAGTTCGGTGGTTGGTGTATAATCATGTGAGGATGTGCAGTGTGGGGGGTTTTATAGTGGGACGAAATGTAATTTAAAGTGGTATACTTATAAAAATTGGTTTATTTGTGGATATTGGCACTCGGGATAATAATACTTTTATTTTATGATAATTACATGGTGCAAATGTCCGGATGTCAAGGAATTCACCCCACCACGCTAGTCCCACCACCGTCTCTCAACTAATTATGGCTCCAACTTAATTGCTTCAATTATTAATAGGAAAAGAAAAAGAAAATAAAAGTTTTTTTTATAGGTGTCATTGAATATAATTATCTATATAATTTTTAGTGTCATAATTAATGTCTAATCAGTCACATCACGATAGAATTTAAAATACTTTTTAATTGATCTTTTCATGATTTAATGGTATGTTTAGTTCATTGATTTAAAATTATGATTCAGAATTATTTTTAATTTATATATATTTTTTATGAAAAAAAATACTATAACGAGTCATAAATTATAATTCAAATTATGATACGAATCTTCGTAATAATTGATTAAATAAAATATTAAAAATTAGACATATAATTTGAATATGATGTGATCGCGTGAACAAGGTTGCAAATGGAATGGAAAAATAGACTGAAAAAGGCATATCTTGTAGTATCACTTCTGAGGTAATGGTACATTTTGAAATCTAGAAAGTGGTGGGGCCATTGAATGTTTAAAATTGAATTAACTAGCTTTGGACCATGTAACATGATCTGCTAATTCTCTCCATATCTTTTTTCCCCACGTCAGCTCTTAGTTATCTTTTATTAATTTAGGTAGAATGAACTAAAATATCAACTTTTTTTTTCAACCCAAATTAATTTCCTCGGCCAGGAACAAAAAGATGAATCGCGAATTTTTAGTAGTGGCAGTAGCTTTAGCCGCTTTGCCGCCCAAGGACACTTGGCAAGGTAGGCACTAGGCATGCAAAACACCACCATTACAACTAGACACCCACAAAAGCAACCTCTTTAAGCTTTGGCTTTCTTTGTATACAATTTCTTTTGATTTTTAAGTCCGGTTCAGTTTATAAATTTAAGATTTTAATTTAAGTTAAAATGTGATTTTATTTAAAAAAATTTATTATAATAAAAAAGAATTAAAAATAATTTTTTATAAAATTTTTTAACTGTAACAAAATTAGATTTAAAAACTCAAATTAATAAAATGAACGAAACCTTAATTCATTCACGAAAAAAAGCCACCTAATTAAAATCAACGTGTTTACATCACATTTTGTAATCTTCTAGTTTAGTGGGATGTATCGGACGGTTTTTGACAGTTGGTGCTGGCATGCTTGCACTTGATTAAAATAAGCAAGCAAAATTTACTGCACAGTTGACGCGTTTGGTGGTCCACAAATTCACTTGTCTACACAAAGTAGCCAAGCACAACACTATTGGGTGGCTCTATCATATATTTTGATTTTTGGGTCGTCCTTCAAGGAAAAAGTAAGAAATATATATATATTAGTCATCAGCGCATTGTTTTCATACCAAAGTTCTTGAAACAAAATGAGCAACGAGCAAACTTTACATTAATGGAGGGAAATATATAAATAAATAAATATATATATATATATATATATATCAAGCCAT